TATAAATCGTCAACTAGTTCTTTCCTTTTCTGCGCTTATAACAGAGAAAAATTCATCAATGAGAACGTCTTATAACTATTTCCAAACTCCCCAATACGTATAAATCAATTAACTTTCAACAACAACTAAGAAAACATTTATACATTGCTATCTACTTCAGAGTGTGATAGAGCCCATGAGCGAACCAAAATAACAGGAGAACAGAGGAGACCCAGGCAATCCACTTGAAACTCGTTGGAAGCACAACCTCCATCGACAGAAAGGAAGCAATCGCAGCAGCAACCACACCTATTTGCCCCATCACTTTTGTTGCAGCCGGAAAGCTATCACTGAATACAAAAATTGCAACAAAAGAAGCAGAGAAGGCAACCCATATGGCTATGGAAATATTATAGACACGATGGAACATGAGGTTGAGCTTGGTAATAGAAAATCAAAAGAGATATCGCAGCCGGAAATGAAAATCCAAGAACCACCTTCGCTACGTCTGCATCCCTGTTGTTAGATTGAGAAGAAACAACTGCAGCTCCAACCTCCAGATTGAAATTGTTGGGTGCATTTTGGGAAGTGGGTGGTGTTTGCATTTCGACATCGGAAAAACTGGGAGATGGATGTCTTACCGGAGAGTTCAGAGGCGGTTTGACCAAGGAACAGAGGACGAGAAGCTTAGTAATAGAGCTAGAAATCAGGGCTTGGAAAGATGTTATTGCACCCATTATAATCAAATCAGTGAGGATTTTGAAGAGATCTAAGCAGACTTCTCCTGACCAACCTTTCTACCTCGATTGATCGTAGTTCTATCTTCTATTACTGGGAAATGAGAAATGGGATTTTATACATTTGGATGTGCAGACCTCGTACTAGTATTGAGCAATCGGACCGGTTCGGACCGATACTTTCTCTCTCCCCAACACCATTTTTCAAAGACTTATTCTGGAAACAGCCGAGAAGGTCACCTGATGTTGAAAACACAAAAAGCCGGTTCTCTCTACACAGGACGCACCTCAATTGATAATATTTTCAAGTTAATCAAACCGGTCTGTTATCTTCTTCCCAATTCTATAGTTTCCAACCGAGAAAGACATACATTTTCTCTCACTATTGACTTTTTTTCCTCAAAGTGGGACCATCACATCCATGCTCATACTTAAACCACCACCCCCATAAATTTGTACAGGTAGGATGAATCTTAACCGTGAATCGATAATAAATTTATGGGCAGGATGCAAATCTCATTTAATTCAACGATGAGCTCACAACAATATATTAAAGGTCCTTATTTCTTGGGTTAAAATCACGTCATAGGCTCATAGCAAAAGTGGATCGTATCCAACCATTATCTTTTTTTTTTTTTTTTGGTAAATTCAATGTATTGAAGGTTTTGATTTCAGGGTTTTAGAAGTGGTTTGTTTCAGAACCGGTTTATATATATGTTTCAAACGGTTGACTGATTAATTCCTTCCCGGAGTCGCACCAAATATTTTCGTCCATTGCATGAGCGTTAAAATTCCAAAATTTTGCCGAGTGTTTTAGGATTTAGACCATTTATTTTGCCCAAAATTTTGGAGAATTAGTAATACTAGTCGAAATTAGTGAGATGCTTGGGATTTATTAAGAAAAATTGAGGATGGAGTTTTATTACATTTTCAATTAAGGAGTGGCTATTTAAGTCTAATTTAAGCATTATCTTTTAGGTTATGTCTAATTTATCCAACTACAATCCCACAATCCCAGTTGCGTTTTAGTGAGTGGCTAATTTTCTATGCTCTAGCTAAATTTGTATTATTTTTTCATATCTTAATGCTATTTTTATTAATTTTTAAATTGTATTGGTTTGTTATTGTATTCATATTACTTTTAGGTAATTATGAAAAATCTCCTCTTATAACAATTCTATAAGCCACCCCTGTGTTTTGATAATAACAAAAGCCTCCCTTATAGTTTTGAAAAAAAAAAATGTTGAAATAACTCCTTTCATTAGATTTTAAATAACAAAAATATTTAAGATACTAAAATACCTTTATTGTTGTTAAGACGTTATCTTTATTGTACAAAAAGTTTCAACTTCACCATCCACTAATTTATTTTACCTGACAATAAGGCCTTGTTTGGTTGTATTTTTAAAACTACTTTTTTATACTTTTGAAAGTATGAAAGTACAAGAAGTACAAAGTAACTTTTGATACTTCATTCTTTTTGGCCCTTTGTTATATTTTATACTTTCTAAAACGTGTGTCCTAACCACATGTGTAATACTTATATATCTCACAACATTAAAACATATATGAATGTCACATCGAAGTATAAGCACATTAATGTATTTAATTAGTAACATATATGTGTCATGTGGCACCCATGTATCACTGACTTACCTTCAGATGCCATATGCCATTCTCATATGTTGCTAGTGGCGTTGGCATGTCATTCACCCAACATTCAGATGCCAACATATATGTATGAAAATCAGACGTTTCATCTTTTTTCATTTGTATCGGACTCGTATCGAGGGTGTATCGGGGCACATTGACGAAAAAGATACAGCCGAAAACTACAAAAATAATTAAAGGGGGAAAACAAGTTTCTTTTCTCTGAAATAAGCCTTCTTTCACCTCAAATGACTCTAAAACTCAAAACTTCATTACTGAAGTGCTAGATTTGCAAAAGTTTACAAAAAAACAAAAAAAACAAATGTGAATCATTAATTTTTTAAGATTCTAAAAAAATATGGCAAAAATAGGTACTTTTTTTCAATTTTTTATAATATCTTGTGATTTTTTTTTTCCTTGAATGTTTAAATTTATCTCGATCTACATTTCTTACATTCAAAATCACTTTTTTTTTGTATTCTCATTAGATTTATGCAAATTTCATAAAGATGTTTAGGGAAAATATAAATTAACAAAAAAACTGAAAATATAATTTTTTCTGCCTATAAAGACTAAATACATTTTATATCTATGGAGTTATCTATCATATCCACAAAGCAATTGAAATTTCTTCTTTAATTTATTTATTTTTTATATTTTTAGAGTTAAAAATAAATAATAATTAATTATATTTTATCATTTGATCACAATAATTGAAATATAATTAACTATAGGATTTTTAATGAAATTATAATTAACTACAATATATTTCTTCATAAAACCCTTAAAATATATTAATTTAATATAATACGCATCATTTAGGTCTTATACTTAGTGTTGTTGATGTATTTTTATGATTTATTAAAGCATTTATACTATTTCCAAGCGTATCTAAAACATGTGGCTGCATAGAAAAGTGAGATAGCTTTTCTATTCTTGTATGTCAACATAAATACAAGAATAGGATGTTGTTCTTCTATCTATGGTTTATTTTTTTTTTGGGAAATTGTCTTAAACTTACCATAACTTTTCAAAATGTCCAAGGAACCCCATGTCATTAACTTGACATTAAACAAATTAATGTGTGTTAATAGATTACCATTTTACCTTTTGTTATATTTGATCCATTTTTCAATATTTTAGAAATATCCTTATTATTATTCGACCCAAAACCCATTGTTCAGCTTCCTTGAAATATTTTCAAGCAGCGAAATGAGAGCAAAGCGTCTCTCAACGAGTAGAATTCTTATATATAAGGCCATTGGGAACTTAAGGGCATTTTAGTCATAAAAATATGTTTAACAAGGCTGATGCACCAATCAGGGGCAGTTTGGTAATGAAAATTGCATTTATGCTGACACGAAAATGATGCTCTAACAGGTGGTGAGTTTTGGAAAATAAAAACTTATTGACATGAGATTTCCTAAATGTTTTGAAAAGTTATGGTATGTTTAAGAGAAATGCTAAAAAGCAATGGTGAGTTTTAGACAATTTCCTTTTCTTTTGGAAAAATTCTCAATTAGTACCCTGTATTTTGACCTAATGCCACTTTGGCCCCTTAACTTTAAAATGCGACAATTCAATATCCAAATTTTCAAAACATGCCAATCCAGTACTTGTCATTAATCAACCGTTAAGTAGCATGTGAAAATACACAAATACCATCCAAGTATATCTAATTTTCTTTATCAACCATCCAAATGTCCCCAAAACTAAAACATTGTTCACAATCTTCGTCCTCTGGAAGATGAATCAAAGGTATAAGTTTTTGGAATCCACTCCACAGAGTAGGACGAGTTATTGTTTTGCACATTGATCAATTGCTTGTCCACTTCCTTAGTGCTCATCTTACCTCTGAACATAGCTAATGCGGTAAGGTAGCAGCCATGGCGAGGGTCAGCAGCACACATCATGTGGGCGCAAATCCAACCATAAAGAAGTGGAGACAGGGGAATGGAATTAAGTTCATGATAAGCTTCCTCATATTAGAGTTCAGCTGCCCAGGAACCTGAGACAACTGGTGACACCACTCATGGTTGCAGAGATCAAATGGTTCAAATCGCAAAAGCCAGTAGTAGCAAGCTTGAGAGTCCTAAAGCAAATATCATACAAAGCTTCATTATCAACAATCAGACACTCATTTGCGTTTTCTACAAGCTAAGGAATAATAGAAGAGTTGCATCGTATGGCTCAACCACTGTATCCGGAACCTTTGGGGAGGAGAAGACAAAAAATGTGAGCATCATCCGGTCAGGGTACTCTTCCCTTATCTTTGAAATGAGCAAAGGACCCATACCAGAACCAGTTCCTCCACCTAGAGAGTGACAAACTTGAAATCCTTGAAGATAGTCACAGTTCTCAATCTCCTTCCTTTTTAGTATTAAGGTAAAAGATAATGAACTGTGTTTCTAAAATGATAGTTTTGACATTTTAAAAATTTTAAATCGCACCTATCATCATCAACTAGCAGATTACTAATGATAGATACTAAATTGATACGTTTTAAAAGTTTGAATACTCTATTATGGCATTTTAAAGTTTGGAGACCAAAGGGGCACTGGGCCCAAAATATAAAATTTTCCCCTTTTTTTTTGTTAATAATAAAGAGGGATACTAATATCGTCGAAACCAAACCTAAACCGTCCCACACAGGTCTCTCCTAATACCGTTCAACAGCCGTAAAGAAAAATCAGAATTCAGAACGTCCTTCAGCCAATTCGGAGGGTGGCCAAAGGATTCATTGTTCGCCAAATGCCCTTTAACAGCAGCACAATGCGCAGCTTGGTTCAAATTCCTTCCCACAGAACAGAATTTAACTTCACAGTCTTTGATCACCTCTAAGATGTCTTTAATCAATAACCCGAGGTCGGGCATCATCTGACGACTAGGGTCCTTGAGATTTCTTACCAAAGCTCGACAATCACTTTCAACCACCAACTTCTTCGCACCTAACCTCTGTGCTAAAAGAATGCCTTGTTTTACCGCAAATGCTTCTGCAAATATGAATGATGATGCATGACAAGAGCCATATTTTGCTGCCACGAAGCTTCCACGCCAATCCCTAACGATGACGCCAAAAGATGCTAATCCCTCTTTTGTGTAGCCACCATCTGTGTTCACCTTTAACCAGCCATGTTCAGGTGGTCTCCAAAATGAACCCTTCTTGTTGTCATCACCATTTTTCTTTTTCACATACCGGTCGGTCATGGCTGCCCAAGAAACGGCATCCCTCTTCGGCATCGGTCGGTCAAATAGCCATTCAGCAGAGTTAAAGTATCCAAAACTAAGGTACCCGCTGATCAGTGAATTCCACGACGCTGTGTCCTTCTTTGGCATCTCCTTGAACAATCTCTCTGCTTCTTCAATTCTCATAGAGTTGGCGAAACCCGAGAGTATCGAATTCCAAGAGTCAGGGTTACTCTCAGGGGCATGCTCCAAATAAGTCTTCGCCGACTCCAAATTTCCATGTCTGACATGCCCAGAAACCATACACTTCCAGGACACCACATCCTTCACAGGCATTTCTTCGAAGACCTTGGTTGCGGCCTTCATGTTATCTCCACACACACAGTACATGTTCAACAGTGTGGTCAGAACATAAACATCCGACCCAAACCCAGTTCTGAGAATGCATCCGTGAACCTCCTCCCCACCTCTGAGGTCCAATCTCTCCTCGAAGGCACGAAGAACAAAGCGAAAAGTGAAGTTATTGGGGAGGAGATTATCGTCCCGCATTCGAATGTACAGGAAGGTAGCTTCTTCCGCTCTTTTGTTTATTAAGGAACCCCTGATCAAGGTATTGTAGAGGAACAGGTTCGGGCTTCGGAATTGATAAAACAGCTCGCGCGCTTTAGCAAAGATTTGAGGTGTAGTAGAAAGAGCAGCGAATTCTACAAGTTCGCTGACTTCATACGGGTTTTGATCTATGGCAGTTTTGATCATGTAGGCATGAATTTGTTTCAGTTCTTTCAAGCTGCTTAATCTCGGAAGCAGAGAGAGCAACTGTGGAGTGGCTCTTTGTTCCATTTTTCAATACAAGAAATGAACAAAATTTTGGGTTCATATTACTGCATTCGTTTGTAGAGAAAATCTAATTGGAATTTAAAACCATCGTAAATCGTTGAATGTTGGGAACAAGAAATGCGAACTATGAAAGAAAACTTTGAAGGAACAAACAAAACAAAAAACAAAATAAAAGCGCCGTTGCCGGGGATCGAACCCGGGTCGCCCGCGTGACAGGCGGGAATACTCACCACTATACTACAACGACAATATATGGATAGTCAGATCCTCAATATAATAATTTGTTTTTTTCTCTCGGTTTCAATATCGAAGTATAACCGCTTACCGGCCACATTTGCAGACTCGAGTAAAATACTAAAATCCAATTTCCTTTCTGTTTCTGTGCTTATAAAGAGTAAAACTGTTTTTACCTTTAAATACAGATCTAATGAATAAGAAACAAACAAAAATATGGAAGCTTCCCAGCATAAACAACAGAGTAAAATTCATCAATGAAAAAGTCTTATCACTATTTCCAAATTCACCAAGGAGGCAAAAAACAATAGAAATTAATTTACAAGTTACAACAACAACTAATAAAGCATTGATAAGTTTATTATCAACTTTTTCAAAGTGTTAAGAGTCCATGGGCGAACCAAAACAGTAGGAGGACACAGGAAACCCATGCAACCCACTTGAAGCTCGTCGGAAGCACAACCTCCATAGACAGAGAGAATGCAATTGCAGCAGCAAAAGCAATCACACCTATTTGCTCCATCATTTTAGTTGCAGCTCGAAAGCTAGGACTGAATACCAAAGTTGCAACAAAAAGAAGCAGAGAAGACAACCCATATGCCTATGGAAATTGATGAGGGGTAATTCGGGTATTTCGGGCATTTTTTGCCATCTCAACAGGCCATGTTATCTTGGGTATTTCGGGCATTTCGTCCAAGACCGAGGTTCAAGCAGCTTGTGATGGTTCAACCTGCCGAAGTAACATGTAGTCAACTTCTACAAACTAGCTAGTTGTCTTCGACCTCTCTGGAATCACGTTACACATCCACAAGACTTATCCTTATCTTGCCCAGATCGGACGAACTCGATAAGTCTTATCAGCTCACACAAAGTCCATTTCCGAGTGCGGAACGGACTCCTAATAATGCGGGCCAGGGATCTCAGAGGTGTTTCAACCCCAACGCTACAAGGTATACGTAATTATTGCTTACTAGCTCTCTTGCTTACAAAATTCTTCAGCTCGCAAACTCAATTCGCTAACTTAAGCATCAGAATGCCCACACTGAATAAGCCACCTCAGGTTCTTTGATTGTACTTTCTTGAAGTTCAACTGACCATCTAAGCAAACTAATGTCCGAACTATCATCCAATTAGGAGCAGTTAAATCGTGCACCATCAGAAATATTGTAAAGACACCATGGAATTTGAGGTTGATTAACTTGGTAATAGAAAATCAAAAAAGCTATTGCAGCCGGAAATGAAAAACCAAGAACTACCTTTGCTACATCTACATCGTTGCTGTTAGTTTGAGAAGAAACAAGTGCAGATACAGGATTCAAATTGTTGCATATATTCTGGGAAATGGGTGGTGATTGCATCTCGACATCGTCAGAAAGGCTGAGAGATGGATGTCTTACCGGAGAGTTGAAGGTGGTTTAACAATGGAGAAGAGGAGGAGAAACTTAGTAACAGCTAGAGGAAGAAATCAGGAAACTTTCAAAGATCTTACTACACCCATTATAATCCGGTTAGTGAGGCTCTTGGAGAGGTTTCGGCAAACTTCCCTTCGCCAATTTTAAGTCTTAAGAAAATGGGATTGGCATACTTATTTAATTTATATGTGTGTGCAAACTGGTTGAAATATTTTATAGCACCACATGGATGTGTACTTGCAGAAACTGGTTGAAATATTTTATATCTGACCAAGTTCGATTTGTTGTGGCCTCACCCTAACTCGATTCGTCCCATTCAAACTGGCCACGGCAATACAGCGAAAGCCGTAATTTCACAGTTTTAGGGTAAGTTTAAAAGTTAAAACGCGTCGTAGCAAAAGTGGATTGTATGACACCCTCGCTCCATCAGAATTAATTATTCATGCTTCAAGTGTTCAACACTTTAGGTTACGTTTGTTTGGGGTGGAAAATTGAACCGGGGTAAATTTTATATTTTGGTTTGATTTTAGTGGAATTTGATAAACATGTAATTTTACATCAAAAATTAGTGTAAAATTCTATTTTGATTTTTATTTAAATTAATAATCAATGTAATGAATACATTGAAATTATCGATGTAAAAGGTAATCACTCTTTATTCCTCTCTCTTCCCCTTCTCTCTCTTTTTCTTCTTCTCCTTATCTCTCTCGCTTGCTCGCTCTCTTCTCTTTCTCTCTTCTTCTTCATCACTGTTGTAACTGGTTGTAACGGCAGATCTGAACCCACCTCCGAAGGGAGAGCCAAAGAGGACCCAGAATAGAGATCGTCCTCGAGCAGTACCCCAACCTCATCCTCCAAAGGGAAAGCTGGAGAGGACCCAAATCTGAATCACTGCAACTAGTTGAAAGTTGGTTCAAGACTAGAAAACAAACACCATCTCTCTCTCTCTCTCTCTCTCTCTCTGATAAATCTCCCACTGCAACAAACTAGAAAACAAGGTAACCTCCATTTATGTTAATGCAACCAAACAGGATGAGTGTAAATGGGTACAATGGCTGGTCCATATTTTACACTCTCACCGAACCATCATGTCTCAACTCCATCGGTGTAAAAGTGCATTTACACCGGAAAAAAATGCAACCTAAGGAAGAAAATAAAGGAAAATTTTCACTTAGTATCTTGTATTTTGGGCCTAGTGTTATTTTGGTCCCTAAACTTTATAATGCAACAAATCAATATTTGAACTTTTAAAACATGTCAGTCCAGTACCTACTGTTAATTAGTCATTAAGTAGCATTTGAAAAAGAAACAAATGCCCTTTGAGTGTTGATAGTGCGCAATCCGGCTGGTCCTATCTATCAATGACCTTGCCTCTGAACGGAATTACGGGGAACCTGAAACGGAGAAGATGGGGAAGCTCCGGGGGGAACCCGGTATGGATGCTCCGAAGCTCAAGTTAGAATTCTTCAAAGGCAAGATAAAACCAGATGGCGCAAAGTTTGCATACATTGTTCTTGGGGGGTAGGGAACCTTTTATAACCACCTCGCGCACTCACTTCTAAGCTTCTGTCAGATCGGGTATGATTATTTCTAAGCTCCTACCAGTTCGGATGTGATCCCCTCTAGCTGGACAGAACCGCCACTGCTCCCTTTGTCGGAGCCGTCTCTGCGGCTGGTGACGACGGTGGCAGGTGGCGGTGGCAGGTGGCCGTTTGAAGTGCGGCTATCAAGCGTCAGATCCCAAGTCAGTCAGGTGCACCGCCCTTGGATACGGACATCCTCGGTGTCAGGTATGGTACGTTTGTTCAGTCTAGCGTCCTAGAGGCGAAGTGTTGGAGTGGTGAGCGAGATGAAGTCTTGAGTTCGAATAAGGGAGTGTCCCGAACTGCCTTGTGAGGCTCGGGGCCTAAGGGAGAGTTCGGGCTCCTTGTAGGGAGCTCGGGCTCCTAGTAGGGAGTTCGGGTTCTTAGTAGGGAGCTCGGGCTCCTAGTAGGGAGTTCGGACTGCTGGTTCCTCCCTTTGGTGCTTGCGCCTTGGGCGCACTGTTGTTCCGAGCTGTTTTCCTTTTCCATGTGTTGAGTGATTACGAGGTCGGGCCAAATCTTCCTTCATCAAGTGTCATCTAATTTTCTTTATAAACTATTCAAATGTTATCAAAAAATTAACAGTTCCAAATCCCAACTTTTTATTCAAGAAAGTTGGGGTGACTAAAATGCCCATTGGGACATGACCCCTGTGCCGCCAGTTTTTTATTTATATTAACTTCATAAAAGAGTCTAAAATTACAAGTATGCCCCTGGAGGCATATCCTAGAAATAAAATAATAAGAAAAAGGAAAGAACAAGTAACTATAACTGTAACAACAGCTATTAAATAAGCCTTACAACACTCCCCCCCCCCTCAAGTTGAGTTGAAAATGTCTATCATGCCCAACTTGTCACATAACTCATTGTGCCGCGAGCACGGAAGCCCCTTTGTAAGGACATCAGCAAGTTGTTCCTTGGAGTAGACATAAGGGATGCAAATTTCCCTTTTTTCCMGTTTCTCCCTTATGAAGTGTTTGTCCACCTCAATATGCTTGGTCCTCTCATGTAATACTGGATTGTTGGCGATGTTTATTGCAGCCTTGTTGTCATAGTAAAGAGACATAACATTATGAACAACAACTCCAAGCTCACCTAGGAGGTTCTTTAGCCAAAGGACTYCWRCCACCCCATGTGCCATAGCTCTATACTCAGCTTTTGCACTTGATCTTGCTACCACACTTTGCTTCTTGCTCTTCCAGGTCACCAGATTTCCTCCCACAAATGTGCAATACCTACTAGTGGACTTCCTATCATCCACGGCTCCTGCCCAATCAACATCTATAAAGACTTCCACCTTTAGGTGATTGTGTTTACTGAATAGTAGGCCTGTTCCTGGATGTTTCTTCAGGTATCTAAGGACTCTCTCTACTGCCTCCATGTGTGGCTTCTTAGGAGAGTGCATAAACTGGCTCAAAACTCCAACTAAATAGGCAATATCTGGACGGGTCATGGATAGATAGATCAGCTTTTCCACTAACCTTTGGAACTGCTTTACATCTTTCAGAGGTTCACCAATACAGTCACCTAGCTTGTGGTCCGCATCCATACGAGTATCTTCTGGCCTTGCACCTAATTTACCTGTATCCCGTAATAGATCAAGGGTGTATTTCCTTTGAGAGACAAAGATACCCCTTTTTGAATGAGCAACTTCGATCCCAAGGAAATACTTTAGGAGTCCTAGATCTTTCACTTYAAATTTGGATGCAAGGAATTGTTTCAATTTCTATATCTCTGAACTCTAACTCCCTGTAACGATGATATCGTCTACATA